ATCTAGGCATTAAATATTGAGCACAGATGGTCAACCAAGTTTTTTTTTGAAAACAAAATTCCTGTCTCAGTGCTTTTATCGAAAAGACTATTTAAACAAATAATTATTGAATTTTGTATACAAAACAACAGCCACGAGTCTTTTGTTTCCAAAGCGAGAGAAATTAAAAAATATTTAAAGGCGCATACAGCAAAAGTGCAAAACAATATTTGATCTTAAATATAATTTCATGAGATAATGCAGCCGTAAGATTGGGATTATAAGTTCTAAGATGAATCGATTTCAAAACCCTGCTCTGATACCAATTGAAAGACTTTTATTTATTTTATGCGGAAAACTTTAATCACAGAATCTTGAAATCAAATTCATCTTAAGAACATAAACACATAATTGGGATTATCGACATACCGTTCGCCATGGGTTTCGATAGAAACGATGAATGATAACAATCTACAAGCCGAGCCTAGCCAGGCCTCCTTCGAATCTTCTTGTGAGAACTTTATTCGTAGGCACACCTTCTTCTCTCTATCTCTCTAATATCACAACTCACTAGTATTCTGTAAGTGATGGAATTCTCAATTTGCGTCTGATGGTTGAGGAGAAGAGTTGTGGATTTCTTTTATAGACGAGAGAAGAGGGCCACGATTGATTTGTAACGGCAGAAGACAAATCCCACCCATCATGGTATTTTACTGCCTTCAACGTTACAAATCAATTACCATAAAATCACCTTAATACCATGATTTGAATTACCCACAATTTAATTAATTAAAATAAAGATTAGTGGACCAAAATAAAAAACGTTTTAAAACGTAAACTAACACTCAATACTATGCATGTTGATGTGTAACATACAAGTTTTAGCCAAGTGGTGCGATTTTACACATTTAATTATAAATGCCATAAAGTATGAACAATATAACATTGAATTTGTGGGTCACGTTTCATTGATTTGTCTTTTCTTTCTTTTGGCAAAGTTAGATTGAACTAAATAAAAAATTGTTAGGACATGCTGAAAACCCAACATTTGGGGTCAGGTTTAATAAAAGACTGTTAATTAAATTCATCATTATTGAAAAATTAAAAAAGGATAATTTAATTTAATTGGACAAAAAACTTTAATCAAAAGATCTTGGGGGGGGCATAAAATAAATAAATTATTTTAAGAATGACAGATATTAAAGAAAAATAAGTTATATTAGGGTTGTAGATGGTCGGCCCCGTTTATGCATTGTCGTTGTCCCTTCGCTCCGTCGGGGCCTCGTTTATTTAAGTTAATATTAAAATGAAGCAATTAATAATTTAGATAGTTGACATACAGATTATTTAATTCCTTGTGTCCTAATTAATCACATTTGTATTAGCTTAATGACATGATGTTTCCTTAATTTAAGACTGTTAAGTAATAGAATATCTTATTAATTGACATCGATTAAAGAAAGGGAAAAATAATTAGCTAAAAGTCGGTCATATTGAACTTAAAAAATGTGTCAGTGAATTTAAAAAAATATCATAAATCCAACAAAATCAGTATTTTTTACATTATCTTTTCAATGCAACTCGAATCAATGCAATTATATTTTGTATGCGAAAGTTCGGATCAACAAACCTCATATTAATAAACTTGTAAAAAGATTATGAAATGAGAAAGAAAACAATCACCAATTATACATATACATCTTGGGATAAACTACGACTGTCGCCTAAGGTAAGGTCTATTTATGGAAAAATTCGTTTTTCCATAATTACATTCACTCTCCTATATTTTGTAGATTTCTTACATTTACACCATTTTGTAGGGAATGTATGGAAGAAATTTACTAACTACAGGGACTGGACATAATTTCTCAAAAAGAATATCATTTTTGTAATTACCTTTTGGCTCAGGGACTTGATTGTAATTTGTTTTACATATTACCCCAAAGCTAAAAAAAATAATTAGGTATATATAGAGGGAAATTTACAGTATCCATCCCTTAAGTTTGCAATAATTCCACATTTGGTCACCTATGTTCACAAAAAAAACACATTTGGTCCCTCGTGTATTAGTAATTTGACATTTTTTGTCATGTTCGTCAATTCACCGTTAGTCCGTCAGCTACGGTAGTGATGTGCACACGTTTGATTCCGTTAATTTTAACGTAAATTTGAACAAAAGGACTAATAATGTTGAATTTTTGAAACATAGGGACTAAATGTGTTTTTTTGTGAATATGAGGAACCAAATGTGAAGTTAATGAAAACTTGAGGGATGAATATTGTATTTTTCCATATATATAGACATAAGCAGTCACTTCAACTGTCAGTACCAAAACATCAAATCAAAAGATAAATTTTGAAGAGTAAAATGGATCACATGAAACAAAATAAAATAAACTCAGCTGTAAAATTAGCAAAAAAAAAAAAAATAATAACTGAAATAAAAGACTGCACTAATACTAATTAATTAATAAATAAAAAACCATATAATATAATATTCAATAAGAATATAATAAACAAATAATAATTTATTTATTTTTCCTTATGTGTACATATTTCCACTAGCTAATAGTACTCACTAATTTCATTTAAACCACCACAAAGCATAGGAGGGTTGCATTAGGAATACATTTTGTGCTGCCCTGTTTGGGAAACAAAAGAATCTTTGAGGAAGATCCGGTTTTTAATTTGTTTTTGTCTCAAGAATTTTAATTTGTGCCCACTATATTTTTTTCTTGATATTCCATAAATACCCTTGTGATATCTCTCCTCTTTTTCCATTAGTATCTATCTTTCTTTTGCTTGATCAAATTCCTTACAACCTGAAAAAAAAAATTCATGTAAATAAGTATTTATATATATAAATATCAAATGACATTAGCACAGTGTGAAAAGAGCAGCATCGGGTGATTTTTCACTGCACGTTTATACAAATAACTGCTCTTTAAACACACATACGTATGTGCATGTGTGTTACTGTGTGTGGATCAGTGGTGCAGAATCGATAATATGTTCACTGGGTGTAGCATCTACGAAATTTTAGCCGTGACATTTATTACATGTGAATAGTAACTTTGTTCTATTTAATTTATGAATTATTAACTATTGACATATTTAGATAATTTATTTATTATGAGACATCTCTACTTGGATACATTATTAACGATGAAATTATGAAATATAGTACATAGACATGATTCGACAGTTGACCTGAAAACAAGCTCAAATATATATATCATGTGTTTTTATATCCATTTTTATTTACTTTTTTTTTCTTTTTTAGCCACCCTTGATATTATATTTGTATGTATAATTACACATTTATTAGAATTTTATATGTATGCATACTAAGTAATTGATTCAAATGAAAATAATGTAATATAAAATTATTTGTAATATTTTAATTAATTTCTACAAACACACAAATTAAACAAATATATATTAATAATTAAAATATAGAGAGTAATAATATTTGAGAGAGTGAGTGCTAACCAGATGCTTGTAGGGCAAGAGATGCTGGATTAATTAATAATTAATATTAATTGAAAGGAAACAAGCTACTGCTTATTAATCCTGACTGATTGATATTTTTTTGTCTATGCTCATCCACACTTGCCTGAAAATGATTTATATTTTGTCAATGTTAGACGGATATTTATATTAATAATAATTATTATTATTATTTATATATATTTAATTAAAATGGAAGAAATAAATGTACCTGAAAAATAAATGAATTAGGAGAATTTTCAAGAAGCATATGATAGTGATCATTGGCTGTTACTGTGGGGTGGCATTCTTGCATGTTTGGCAAGTTACTTAAATCCTGCATGCACATTTATAAACTTTATTAATTTAATGAATATAATAAATAATATATAAAAAATTAATCAACCATTTTTTGAATTAAAAAAAAAAAAAATTGACCTTAATTATAATGTACCTGATCAGGGCGAACCATGAATGATTCTAAGTCAACTCCAAAGTCATAGAACATGGGATTCACAGAAGCAAGCTTCATTGAGAGAAACTGTGCAAAAAAAATATTTATACAAATATTTTTAGTTAATTAAATGAAATAATAATTATATTAGAAAAAAAAATAAAAAATAAATAAATAATTACCTCAACTTGATTTTGGAGGGATTGGACATAGTTTATTATTTCATCCAACATGAGGGCCTTTCCAGTTACCTGTTTGACATTCAAACCACATGAAGCTGTCAGCAATTATAATTAGACTTATAACCAATTTTTAAAATAATAAAAATAATATACATAAATATATTATTAATAATTAATTTAAGACAAAAAATTAATCTTGAAACTTGACCTTGTCACAACCAGGGACAAGAGCTTGTAACAGCTTCATTCTTTCACTTATTCTCTCCCTTCTCACCTGAAATTAATATATATATATATATAAATTAATTCAGCCAATTATATTTACTAATTTTTTTTTAAATAAAAATAAAAATTAGTATATATAATGAAGCAAAGTTACAAATTTACCCTCTCGGCAAGGCTGTGGCTATCAGTTGCTTGGCCCCTCCTTGCCCTTACATGAATATATCCAGTTGGAGGTTCTTCTACTAGTATTTTCTTTTCCTTGCATTCTTTCATTTTCTTTTGCTTCTTCTCTTTACTTACTTCTCTCTTATCCTATTCATATTTACCAACATTATCGATAAAAAAAATTAATTAAGAAAAACAAAATTAAAAAAATAAGTACATTAATATAACTACAAGAATTGTTTTTTTCTTTTTCATTTTAATTAAGGGAAATATGTTATGACCTTCTGTTACCGGCGGCGGTCAAAACAGAACAGGGTAGCTACTAAAAGTACTAATATTGTCAAAAAAAAAAAAAAAAAAAAAACATTATCTTTGTAAATTTTAAGGTTGGAAAAAACCTTGGATTGAGCGGAATTCGGAGAAGAACCCTCTTTAGATTTCCTCTTCTTCGTCGTCTTTTCCTCGATCGGAGTAGTGGTGGTGGTAGTAGTAGTAGTGGCGGTGGTGGTCAAGACTTGGTCAATGCTGAGATCACACTTGTGAGTAACAATTGAATAAGAAGATGAATCCATACTATTTTTGTTTGTCACACTCATGACAGAAGAATTAGCATCATTATTATTATTATTAATAGTGGTAATAATATTATTACTATTCTGGTGAAGATTGTTTATTAATGTTTGAGGGTTTGCATCATCATCAGGTTGGAAGAATTGAGGAAAGCAAGATAGGTAGGTACTGTTTGGTTCCTCAAAAGGGCTACTACTACACAACATCTTATTATTATTAATATTATTAATATTAATGGTGGAGGGAGAATTTGGCAGGAAAATTGAGTCAATGATAAAAGGTTGGTTCTGCTCAAATAATGATGATGATGATGAAAAGGCTGCCATCTTTTTTTTTTTTTTTAAATAGCAAAAGAAAAAATGAAGTAAGAAGGGTTTTCAAGAAAGTGATGGAAGAGGATTCTTGATAATTGATGATGATGATGATACTCTCTCTCTCTCTAGAAATGAAGAAGGGAGGGCTATGTGATGAGAGAGAAAGTAGGAAGTAGAATTGTGTGTGTTTGTGATTCTGATACAAAATCTCTAGGGGGGGTCTGCAGGTTTATATAAGCATTGGGAGAGAGAAATCGGACATAGTAGTTAGGTTAAATTAATGTGAGTTAAATGTCAAATTACGAAAAATTCATTATGTTTGAGTAATTATAAATTTACAGTGAGTCCATTAACTATGAATTTTCTTATATTTTTACTCTTGTTGTGTCAAATGTATAAGTGGAATATTCTCTAATTTGCACATGTTTTATCCTATTCAAGCACCACATTTTGAAATCAGATGATCATAAGATGTTGTCTCTTGGTTTGTAAGTATCAGACTGTGGGTGTATCTGAATTTGCACTAACAAGTACACTAGAGAACTGTCCAAGTAATCCAGAAGATTATGTTCAATTTGACATTATAAAAGTGAACCTGTGTTACATTATCTCAGTGGAAGATGCAATTTACACTAATAATAATAATAATAATAATAATAATATATACTTTGTTTTAGGCTCGATCTTTCTTGTGTAGTTAGTTAGTTACTCTATACTTTGACTGGTCTAGTCTAATCATCTTTCTCTCTCACACACATTCACACACACTGCAATAAATGTGGAACCATTTAAGGTGGTTTGTGCATGATGCGATCTCTTGAGTATCATAAGATTTCTTTACGAAACGTAAGAAAACTCTTCTTTATTATTTCTCTTCATTATCAAAACCCTTGCACAAGACGACTATTTAAACAGAATAAAACCCTAGAATCCTAATCTAACTAGGAAAGATAATTACCTAAACTAATAAAATACTTAATAATCTCCTAACTACTCCTAACTCACGGCAATATCCTATCTAATTATACTATTCTAATTAATTAATAATTAAATATTAACTAAACCAATAATTAAATAATAAATCCCAACATTCCACCCCGCTTGAAATGAATCTTGTCCTCAAGGTTCGTCTTGCGTTTCCATCTATGTTTGATTTCATCGACTTTCTTTCCGAATGAATCCGAAAAACACAATGAACGATCGAGCTCTTTAACACATGGTTCTGGCTGACCCCAAGAAATTCCAAAGGCTACTTTTGCGAAAATACCCAATTTTTTTCCCAATAGATAAACTTTTTTAATCGTCTTTTCAGATTTTGTCTCCTCCAAACTGACCATCGGTTCTTCGTCTCCTTTCTTTTGAACACCATGGAAATCTCCGAATATCCATAGTAGCTCTTCGCTCTCCTCTCTGGTTAATTTCTCGTCTTCGTCCCACTTTATCTCAATTGACTCCGATTCTTCTTCTTTCGGCTCTTCGTCCCACTTTATCTCAGTGGAATTCGATTCTTCTTCTTCCGGCGAACTGACAAAAATCTGGGGTTCTTCGAAAAAGTCATCGTCGTCCTCTTCCTCTTCCTCCGGGAATAGGCTCGGAAGCGGCGGTGGTGATGGTAGCGGTGGCGTTGGCGGTGATGGGCGGCGGTCCCTTCGGCTTTTGTGTTGGCGTTGACGTCGTCCTTGACTTTGTTCAAGCAATTTCTGAAAACTAATCCGTAATTTCTCTACGGATTTTTCCAGTCGCTCCAACCGTCTTGTTTCTGACATCATGATTTTCACAAAGTTTTGATGTGATCTCAACTTTGCTCCAGCTTAGCTTTGATATAATCGCTGCTTTGCTAACGAAGCGTTGGTGTTATCGCAACTTCGCTCTGATACCAATTGATGCGATCTCTCGAGTATCATAAGATTTCTTTACTGAACGTAAGAAAACTCTTGTTTATTATTTCTCTTCATTCTCAAAACCCTCGCACAATACGACTATTTAAAGAGAATAAAACCCTAGAATCCTAATCTAACTAGGAAACATAATTACCTATACTAATAAAGTACTAATAAAATATTAAATACCTATCCTATACCTAGAATACTACGGCTCCTATGTAAACTAAATAAACTAATACTTAAATAATATATATAAAATATACTAATCTACTTAATTAATAATAAATTATTAACTAAACTAATAATTAAACGATATATTATTTAATATATCGTATCAAACCACCCCTCTTGAAATGAACCTTGTCCTCAAGGTTCGAATAATTGCAGCTCTCTCTTTTTTTGCGCTTCCACCTATGTTTGACTAGGTCGAATTGCTTCCCGATTGAATCCGAAAAACATGACAAACGATCAAGATCTTTAACACATTGTTTATGTTGATCGAACGAACTCCTAAAGGCTTTTGGAAAAATTCTCAATATTTTTCCCGATAAATAAGCTTTTTCAATCGTCTTTTTAGATTTTGTCTCATCCAAAGTGACCATTGGTTCTTCGTCTCCTTTCTTTTGAACACCATAGAAATCTCCTAATATCCACTGTGTCTCTTCGTTCTCTTCCCTGGTTAATTTCTCGTCTTCATCCCACTTTACCTCAGTTGACTCCGATTCTTCTTCTTTCGGCTCTTCGTCCCACTTTATGTGAGTTGAATCCGATTCTTCTTCTTCCGGCGAACTCACAAAAATTTGGAGTTCTTCGAAAAAATCATCGTCGTCCTCTTCCTCTCCCTCCGGCGATAGGATCGGCAGCGGCGGCGGTGGCTCTTTGAAAAATTCATCGTCGTCCTCTTCCTCTTCCTCCAGCGATAGGCTCGGCAGCGGCAGCGGCGGTGATGGTCGGCGGTCCCTTCGGCAGCGGTCCCTTCGGCTTTTGTGATGGCGTTGACGTCGTCCTTGACTTTGTTCGAGCAATTTCTGAAAATTAATCCGTAATTTCTCTACGGATTTCTCCAATCGCTCTAACCGTCTTGTTTCTGACATCGTGATTTTCACAAAGTTTTGATGTGATCTCAACTTTGCTCCAGCGTAGCTTTGATGTAATCGCTGCCTTGCTAACGAAGCGTTGGTGTTAATCGCAACTTCGCTCTGATACCAATTGATGCGATCTCTCGTGTATCATAAATATTTCCTACGAAACGTAAGATCTATTCTTTAATATTTTTCTCTTCATTATCAAAACCCTTGCACAAGACGACTATTTAAACAAAATAAAACCCTAGAATCCTAATCTAACTAGGAAAGATAATTACCTAAACTAATAAAATACTTAATAATCTCCTAACTACTCCTAACTCACGGCAATATCCTATCTAATTATACTATTCTAATTAATTAATAATTAAATATTAACTAAACCAATAATTAAATAATAAATCCCAACAGTGCACTATTCGCATACATGTTTATGAAACATATGAGCATGGGCAGATCCAACATGTTTTTTTATGGAGGAGCTAATTACCTAAAGTTTCGTATTCAACATTAACTAAGTGTATTTTGATTAATTACCTTAAAACTCCTTTAATTTGATTATTTTTTTATAAAAATGTATTGACTATATTGCCCTTGAATTATAATAAAACCTAAAAGGTTTGATGGTTGCTTACCATATTTGGTGCCGCCTCTTCTCTTTCGCAATCTCTCTTTTATCCAACGATGTAATCTCTCTTCTCTTTCCTCTTCCAGCGATTTTTGTTATTTCGCTTTTAATCTCTCTTTCTTCTATGCTCTCTCTCTAACTTCTCTTTGTACCGTTTGTATCTGTTAGTGTAATGAATTCAATGAATTTTGTTATATTCGAGTGGTAACTCTCTTTTGTTCCCATATATGATAAATTTTGTATTTTTTTGTCATAATGTTCATGTTCTCGAGCAAAATAATAGTGATTGGTACTTATGGTAAATTATAGCTGAGTCTATAGGTAACGTGTATGTTGTTTTCTTTGCACTTCATAATTAAGGGCTGGTCTAACTATAGGCGAGAGAGGCGGTCGCCTAGAGTCCCCGATTTTTATAAAATTTTATGGGGCCCCCAAATAAATTTTTATACTCTTACTGATAATATTAATTGATATTTAAAAGTTAATAGTTCAACAATTCGAATACGGATAACTATAATTTTTTATGGCATAGTTTAAATATTTGTTGGGTAATTATTATATTTATTCTTGCATTCGTCACAACTATATTATACTGACAGCTATATTATTTGAATTTTAATACTTATTCTTTCATTTCATGTAATGAAATGTATTAGATCAATTATGATTACATAGATACTCAAGTCTAAGTTTTTGTTTATCAAATCTTTATTTGTATATCCTCTAACAAGAATTTTCAATAATTCCAAATCACTATATTTTATATTATTAAACCCCGTAAACTTTTGATCCGCCTTCCTAATTACTTCATTTTTATTCTAGTGATATATCTCCAAAAATGAAAAATCTCAACTGCTTCCATCGCGCTCGTAAGAGCAAATTAATTTGTACATTATATAATAATATTGTTACTACTAATTTTTAAAATTCGCTTAGGCCCTCAAATTTCTCAGGAACATGCCTAAATTCTCCCATATGAAATCATGAAAATATAAATAGTTTACTGAAAAGGTGAAAATTATATTTTATTTATTTTTATTGCCAATTTTTTGGATTATATCTTTTGAAATTACCAGAATGACTTTTTAGATTCCGAAAATTCCGAAAATACTAATTCCAATTTGTTCGTCGGATTTTCAGCTCTAGATTTTAAACCGTAGATGCACATAAAACGTGTGTGTTAATTATTTCAAAGGAGTTGGATGAAAGTGTGTGTGTGTTTGGTTGGTAAGGTATTAAAGATGAGAAGGTAAGATGTGGAGACAAGTCTATGGCAATTTTGTAAGTGATCAGTAAACCGAATCATGAACAGTTAAACAGTTGAAATATTGTCAGTTTTTTGCTTTTTTCGTTACCTTCAATTCAGTGATTAATCAGATTTTATTATTATAACGTACACTATCACTATGCGTATACACTATTCAGGCAACAATTCATTTCTGGTACACTACATTTTTCCGGACAATTATTCGTTCTTCCCATTACATATATATATATATATATATATATATATATATATATATATATATATATATATATATATATATATATATATATATATATATATATATATTTTACCGGTATTTGTAGTAAAAGGTATCAATAATATTGTCATCTTTACACATGTTAACCGGCCCGGAAATCGAAATCGAAACGAAATTTTTTCAAATTCTGCTGA